TCGGTTCTCATGTTTGCAAGCAGCACCAATTATAGATTCTTTATGAAGTCTCAATGACAACAATCATCTCAATATTAAACCAAACCACTTTGGTCTTTGGTTCTTTATGAGGATCCATTTTCCCTTCTGACCATAAAACCACTAGACACACCTCTGCTCATGTGTGCAGCAAAGGAAAGGGGTTTGTGATGGGCACATATGGAGAGGCCCTAGGGCCACTTCAAAATTTTGCCAACTGGCTATTCCTACTTTGGCCCTACAACCCTCAGGGGACTGACAGAGCACAGCTCCTGTCAGTTGTTTTTCTTTATGGCTCTTCTCTTTGTCAATGTTTTCATTAGCTCTGAACTGCAGTCAAACCTAAAACTTGAGGCTCCTCAAATCAAGGATATCTCCAGAAGTGACCTAATGTGGTTGGGCAAGAGCTTCAGTTCTTTTTGCACCATTCAAGAGTCCTAGAAAATCAGAGCAGGACTGAGATTTTGTCCTGAGAATTTTCACATCTTAAACTGGTAATGAACTGCACTCATGTAGGAGTACTGACAGCACAGCACACAAAACTACATTAGTTCAGTGCATAAAGCTACACTAAAGGGTCTGACAATATACTGCAGTTTGCACATCACTTCCAACATTTTTTTTCCACAAGAAAGAACAATTCACCTTATTTAGGGAACCATTTTCTGCTGATCTAGAAAGCTTGTGTGAGAAAACACAGCAGGATGCCAACAATGTTTAGCACAGGACCTGTCTAAAGGAAATGCATGACGAGATTTAGATGTTTCCATAGAAAGTATCAGATGGGAAAAAAACCTAGATGAGATCCAAAATCTCCTCTGATTAAAATGTTTTTATATAACTATGGAAGACACAAAGACTCACAATCACCTAGTCAGGATGACTGTGATTTTTTTGAACCTATGACACCACTTAGACATAAAAGAGCTGCCAACTCTTGACAAAGACTATGAAGAGATTTCATTGTTCCATGCTTAAACATGAAAATACTCTAGGAATCCTCTTCTCAAACATGGTACTGCCAATCCACACACCTAACTTCGACCTGTCTAGCAATTCCAAGTTATTTAAGTTGGTATTTAAAAAGAAATCATAGATTCGTAAAACTCCCTGGAAATTGCATTTCTACAAAGCATGAGAACCTTGAATATCAGCACTCTCATGTTTTTTTCAGACAAACTTTAGCCATCAACAGGAAACAGAACAAGCTGCTGCACTCATGGTAAAACTGGCAGAGATGCCACCACATCTGAGCAACCTGTGCCAGTGTCTCACCACCCTTAGAGTAAAAAACTTTTTTCTCACATCTAACCTAGACTTCCCCACCTTCAATTTGAATCCATTACCCCTTGTCCTATCATTGCAGCTCCTTGTAGCCCCTTCAGATGTTGAAAAGTTGCTCTGAGGTCTCCACACAACCTTCTCTTCTCCAGGCTGAGCAGCCCCAACTCCCTCAGCCTGTCCTCACAGGGGAGATGCTCCAGTGCTCTTAGCAACTCTGTGGCCTCCTCTGGACTTGCTCCAACAGTTCCATGTCCTTCTTAAGTTGAGGGCACCAGAACTGTGTGCAGTATTCCAGGTGAGGTCTCAGGAGAGCAGATATCAGAGTCTACCACTAAGCAGACTTAATCACCTACTTAAAAAATAAGCCCAAACTAATAATAAATAAGATATATGAATCACAGGAGCTGATTTTGCAGAAAAACACCTGTTCCATGCCATCAGCATCTATACATAGGAAGATCTTTTTCAACAGTTACTTAAGACACCTATCATTAATATCAAAGCTACAGCAGTATAAGAAATGACTGATATTTTTGATAACTAAAGGTAAGACAAGCTTAAATTTAGCAAGTTGTGAGTACTAGGTGACGTGAATGAGAACAGGCAGCACAAGTTTAGAAAATTTTAAGAAAAAAAACCCCAACACAATCACCTCTCAACTTTTTTTTCTAATCATTTTCCTAAATGTATATATTTCATCATTTTTAACCACAGTATTTTTCCAGATGTGAGCAAATAATTCTAGTCGATAAACCCCAGAAAAACTGTGCAGAATCCACCCTGTGAATTTCAGTAGGGGACACTGAAGCATTTGAACTACTTTCAAAGCATGCTTATTAAGAAGTGAAGCTCTGTGCCTCTGGCACAGGGACAACCTTGGTGTCTGTGCTTGGTCACACACCTCCTTTCAATAATTTAAACTCATACCTCTTATTTACCAATGTGAACAAGTGTATAGTTTCCTTACTTCATGTTCTGTTGTATTTTCTGAGAAAATACCAACATCTGTCTCGAAAATCATTTCAATTTCTCATTATTTTTGGTTGTGTTAACAATATATTCTGAAAAATAAAATAAACTCCCATTTTGTATAACTAGCTATTGACGTAAATCATAGAACTTGAAGCAGAGTCCATTGCAGGTCCTATCTACAGAGTCCTGCCCAGTGAACAGACTGCTGAGAGTGGGGAGGTGCCCAGAGGGTCACTGGGAGGAATGGCCATGCTCTCTGCCCCCCAAATTGAGGGTCTGAATCATTCCCATCTTCTTTACAGTAGTGATGGGAAAGAACAATCATAGTTTGGCATGTCCAAATTCAGTCCAGTTACTTTGTCACTGACTGCATAATCATTTAATGTTGTATGGCATATGGCAGTACTTGAATTTAAATTGTTATTCCACTAGCTTAAGTATTTCTATAGTTAAGAATACAGAAATGACTCTTATTCTTTTTTTTTGTCACAGAAAAAAATTTTAGTCAGATCAGTTAGAAATAAAAACTTATCACCTTCCTTCTCCCTTCCATTAAATTCCCCTGCAGATTAAGCACTACCATGGTATCTTGTCTTTCTCTGTTTTATCCTCAAAAAGATTGAGAAAAATCTAGTAGATTATCAACGCTGAGCTGTTTGAACGAGCTAGAAATACTGCTCTATTATCAC